GAAGCCCTGGCAATTATTCACTGATCGTGGTGTGAGATGGCAGCTCATTACTGTGATTGTCATGACTATGGGCCAACAGCTCAGTGGGATAAATGCTGTAAGTTTTCATACGTACAAAGAGCTTAAATAATTCTTTCATTTCCATCTGGTTTTCAACCTTTTATTAACACAAAGGATCCACACAGAGAAGCTCAGAGAAATGGGATAAGTGGGAAATAGTATCTTTGTGTTATTTCTGTGTTTCTCTTTTTTCAAGTTTTTTTTAATTTCTGATATGTAAATTTCTTTAAAGAATTACTTAATACTTGTTTACATTCTTCTGGAAAAGTGAATAAAGGTGGATCAGCTTATCCCATTGTGTCAGCTTTAAGAATATGAAGTATTATATTCAGTAAGTTGAATAATTACCTTTACTTTTATGATAGCAATGTATTTACCTAGACATTAATTTTACAGATTCTTCTTGCTGTTCATGTCAAGTTAATAATTCACAATATAAAATACATTGAGCTATATGTTTAGTATGAACATGGCTTTGTTTCCAGCTGATGATTTAGTTACTGGGAATGACCTTTTTTTTTTTTTCTGTCGTAGATTTATTTCTACGCAACTTACATTTTTGAACAAGCTGGGATCTCAGCAGAAAAAATCCCATATGTGACACTTGGCACTGGGGCTTGTGAATGCCTCACAGCTCTCACCTGTGTAAGTAACAATTTATTCTACTTCCTAGCATAAAGAGTTGCGATTCTTCTTGAAGAAGAACATGGGTAAATGTGAGATCAATATAGTAACAGAAGATTGTGTCTTGTCCACAGGGTTTACTGATAGACTACGTGGGAAGAAGGTGTCTCATCATTGGGGGTTATCTCCTCATGACCCTTTGGAGCATCATTTTAACGTTCTCTCTGACTTACCAGGTGTAGAGACTCATTTATGTTACACGATATGACTATAGTGAGTGAAAATCTGTCACATTCAAAAGAAGCTGGAAGATAAGAGCTGCAGAGGTTTAAACAGTAACATAAAGAGTGACAGCAATTGAAAGATTTGATCAGTTCTGCAGCCATATTTCCCTAAAATAAGAGAATGCTCTCAGCTAAGATTTGATCGTGTGTTTGTTTTAAAGCTGCAGCTGCGTTTAATGCTGACAAAACTAAGTGATGCCAAAATAACATTTATTCTAGCTTTTAAAGTATTTTTAGGATTAAATACTACATAGTGATGATATTAAGCATCAGAGTCCACTTCAGTCACTTAATTGTGAAACAAGCAATCAAACAAAAAATACTGTAAAGATGCTGGAATTCAAAAGACACTTAAATTTCTTAAGTGTAAATTCACAAAAACTATTGGAAACTCACTGGAGATATTCACAGTGCCTTAACTTTATCATGTGAAGATAACATCCTGCCTCGCTTTTTGATGCAGTATAAAGAGATGCGTCATAAATTGCTCTGTGTACCGTAGCAACTCAGATGGTCTTTCCAATGCACCTAGTTTTATATGTATACAGTAATACCAGTGTTTCTTCACTGTGCTGCTGAAATTTATGTATACGTAAATAATGTGATGTCTGTTCATGCTGTGAAAGTGCTTGATGACAGCAGCTCATGGGCTCAGTATAAGATACCCAAATTAACGCTGACAATATGTTAAACTAGTGACAACACATTAATTGTTATGCTCAGTATTGGTGTAAATTTTTAGCCTCCAAGGACTAATTATAAATCTTGTCAGAAGTACTAGACTCCATTTAGTAAAAATTATAAAGTTAACAATATTTATAAATAAATTAGCTTTAAACAGCCATTAATGACTGCTGGTTTTAGTCACAGTCGAATGGCAGAAGGAAATGTAACTTAAGCCAGGCGTGAGAACAGGATTATCAAAATCTGAACTAAACCTTCTCATTCCCTTTCTGTTCCAGGAACTGTACTCATGGGTGCCTTATGTGAGCATGATGTGTATATTTGCCTTCATCCTGAGCTTTGGGTTGGGACCAGGTATGACATGGTCACCAATGTTTTAAATGGTGAAACGTGTGTCCGGGCTGGGGGCCGTCGGCAGCTCCTCTGCGTGAGCCAGGCAGGCAGTGCTGGCTGGGAGGCTGCCATGCTGAGGAATGCCAGCAAGCCCGTCCTGTCGGAACAGTTCAGTCTCCTGTAGCCGAAGCTGAGGCTCACCATGCGCGATACAGCTGGGGGGAGGGGTCTTGGTTCTGGCCTTCAATTCAGTCGAGTCACACAGGAAGCAAGCAGCAGCCTGTTAGGCTGTTTAGGGGCCCTTGCTCCCTGGGCAGTGCTGCTGGAATGGGGCCGTTTTTGGAAGGACATTTACTGTGTGGACAAGATTCAAAATGTGCTGTTAATAATAATTTTTTTTTAAATACAATCAGATCAGCTAGTGGCATATTCAAAAGCAACTCAATTTTTGTGGCATTGGAAATACTGCAAATGGACATTTAGCATAATAACCTAACCTGTTTCTGAAACTCATTCCCCCAGGTGGCATAACAAACACCCTGATAGCTGAATTATTTATCCAGTCGTCACGTCCTGCTGCTTACGCAATTGGAGGGACTATTAGTTGGATTAGTTTCTT